CCACAATCAAAGCGCGCAATGCCCGGTTTGCCCCTCATCCATCGAGAACGCGGAGCACGTATTCTATTACTGCCCGAGGTTCAGCGAAGAAAGAGCGAGACTACAGACTCTGCTCCACGAGGTCATAACGCCGGGAAACACCACCAGGCTCATGCTCGCGAGCTAGCCGAACTGGCTCGCGGTTGCTTCCTTCGCCCACTCAGTTGTCATAAGACTGAGAGACGAAGAAATGGACAAAAGGGGATGACCGGACGATGCGGCTGGAAGAAGACGCCACTCCATTCAAGCCTTCATGAAGCGCATAATGCCAATCCCTCCACCCCCTTAAAGTAATGCCTAACGGCGGTTTCCGCGGGATAGAACAAAGGGAAATTGATGTGGATGTATCTACTGATGTGTGTGTGAGCGCTGGCGCCGATACGCGTCATACGTTGATGTTACAAGAGTGCTCGAACGACTGAGTATTCACAAGCTCAAATGCGCCACAGAGAAAATACACCTCGGCACACGAAACATCGAGTACCTCAGATTTATCGGCAACGAAGTGAAGCCCAGTTACGCACAGGCAATCATCGACACGCCGCTGCCAAGATCAGAAAAAGAGCTGCAATCATTCGTCGGAGCTTGCAACTGGCTCAGAGAATACGTACCCGAGCTTGCAGTGAAAATGGCACCACTCACCGACCTCATGAAGGCCGCAAGGGGATTCGTTTGGACGAAGGCGGCGCAGGCGGCTTTCGAAAACGTCAAGACGGCGTTTGAACAACCCTTGAGGCTCGCTCGGCCACGTTCGGACATGACGTTCGTGTTGCAGATGGACGCCAGCGCGAGAGGCATGGGCGCCGTCTTGTATCAGCAAGGAGAAGAGAGCGAAGATTGCCGCATTATCGCGTACGCAAGCGCGAAGTTTTCAACAACGGAGAGCCGTTATCACTGCAACGAGCAGGAATGCCTCGCGGTGGTATGGGCCGTCAAGCGGTTCAGGCCGTACCTCAAGGACAGGCCTTTCGTCTTGCGTACCGATAACAGGACAATTACATGGCTACACCAGTTCAAGAACGCGAAGGATAAGCTGACACGATGGGCGCTCTTGCTGCAGGAGTTCAACTTCAAAATAGAGCACTGCCCGGGAAGACACAACGAGTTACCCGACTTATTGTCGAGAAACCCGCAGGAGGAAACACCAGCGGACCTGAGCGACGTGGACCGGATCCACGTCCCCGAGTACTGACGCCCCGCGTCAAACGAAATAATTCCCCAGCTGGGCCTATTCACAGTAAACGAAGACCCAGTGGAGCGGATCCACGCAGCGCAGCGAGATGATGCCGAGCTCCAAGCTGTTTCCGAATCGAGCCAGGTACGTCGCAGGAAGGGCCTCGTCTGGAAGAAGAAGCCAGGTACCAATCTGTGGCGAATCATCGTGCCGGCCGGCGTACTCGAGGAGCTGTTGCGCACATACCACGAAGCAGACACAGCAGGGAGCGAACGAAACGCTGCGCCAACTCCAGAAGAAGTACACCTGGACGGGCATAATGAAAGACACGCGAGACTACGTGCGAAATTGCACCACGTGCAAAGAAATAAAGAAAAACAGAACACTGCCATATGCTCAATCGGCGCATAAGCCAAGTAAACCGTGGGACACGGTGGCTTTGGACCTGATGGGACCATACCCGGCCACAAACGACGGAAGTCGCCATCTCCTCGTCGTCACCGACATGTTTTCGCGATGGGTGGAGGTTTTCCGATTGCCGTTACCGATGCCACAACCATTGCTGCTCGCGTCGAGAAAGACGTATTCACGAGGTGGGGTTTCCCGAGAGCAGTACTGACGGACAACGGAACCCAGTTCACCAGCAAGGCCTGGGCCATCGCCTGCAAAACGTGGCAAGCGATACCATGGACCACCGCCAATTACTGGCCCCAGGCGAATCCCACTGAACGTCGGAACCAAGAGATCAAGACCGCGCTCCGGACGCAATTGAGAGGACGGCCGCACAACGAGTGGGACGAGCATTTGCCGAAAATCCTCTTCCAGTTGCGAAAGAGGCGAAACGCAGCGACAGGCAAGACGCCTGCCGAGATATTGCTGGGCAGGGAGCTCCTTCTGCCAGGTGAATGGAAATTCCCGCACCCGTTCACGGCCGAAAAAAAAGCCGAGCTGGAGGCAGTCCGTCGGCATCAAGCAAAGTACCAGGCCACGTACATCAAGGACGGCGAACAGACGGAACCACACTTCAAGATCGGCGAAATGGTCTACATTCGATCGAGCCCGTTCTCGAAGGCCTCAAAAAATTACTGTGCGGGGTTCGCTTCGCCGTGGGAAGGACCGTGTGACGGAGCACAAGCCGTCAGTAAGCGAGTCGAGCACTCGCAGAAAATGCGTCGCGCCGAGACTGCCGCACGCGCGTATGTATGAGTGAGTGCGTGTGTATCTCCCTCCTCTCGCGCGTTTTCAGGTAGATGATAAGCAGTGGCCCGTCGGACTGATGATGTGAAGCCAGGAGCGTGGCCCAGTATCAACACGTGCGAGAAGGACAGAAAAGAGCCAAGCAGACACCGGGCGAATTCCTTTCGCTACGAGGCAGGCAGATTAGAATACGCTGGCGAGTGAGAAGGCCACACGAAAAAAAAGCCGAGTGATAGAAAGACGCAGGAAAACGCGAGCCAGTGCGTGAAGCTGAAATTGCTGAAGTGATTGCTGAAGTTGTCGTTGTGACGCGGGTGAGCAAGTACCCATTAGTGCCCGTGTGGAATTGGATACACGAGTCAGATCGGAGCCCAGGTGGGCAAGGCGCCTTGGAGCAGACTCGCCCGATCGGGCAGCCAGGATCGCAAGAGTGAGGTGCGCAGAGCCCGAAAGAGGACGGGAAGGCTGAACGAAGACAACACACGTTGAGGTACGACGAAGCCCGGACGCGGGCAGCAGTAGTAGTTGGGCCAAGAAGACTACACTCAGAGCATCGACGAGAGGTCATCAGTGCAGCAGCGAGGCGCCGAAGAACTTGGGGTAATTGTAAGGTATTTCTAAGCCGTTGGTCGGCGCGGCTGCCGGGCCGCCCGCGTGTGTGTGTGTGTGAGCAAGTGTATTAGAGTAAGTGAGGCCACGCGAGTGTCGTAGCGACGACACTGGGCCGATAGTAACGTGCGAGCAAGTCTCGGCCTCGTGGGCAATCGGAAAGTGCCCAACGCGTGCGTAAGTGGCTACGGGGCCGTATCGTAAGCCGAAGATTGTAATTCGGGTATTATTCGTTATCGTTTGCCCTCGTGGGCCTTAAATAAAGATAAATCAATTAATCGTAATGGAACGCGTGTCAATTCATTTCGCTTGACCTATTCGAGAATTTCAGGTATCAGAAGCCTAAGCGAAGGAAGGTGAGTGAACGGGCTCACGGCTCGCCCGTGCTGGTGACGGGCCCAATATCCCCTCTGGGACTCGAGTCAGGTAAAGCGGGCCCCCCATAAATAAAGTGCACGGCAGTCGAGCTGAATTACCCACCCGGGGTAGGCTGTCCGTCGCAATTTCCGATAGTTCACCGTAGACCGACCGTTCCCGATAGTTCAAAAAGAGAGGAATATACGTCGTCGGGAAAGGGCGTCACCACTTACGTATCACGAACAAAGCAGGTCGAAAAAGGAAGATAAAATATCGTACTCCGCATCGTCGCCTTCTAAGCGGGGAGGTTTGATGTGTGTGTGAGCGCTGGCGCCGATACGCGTCGTACGTTGATGTTATGTAGAGTGAAAGTATTAATAATAATTGTATAGCGCGACCGAATTATGGCGCGTAATTAAGTAAATAATAAAAGTAAGGGGGTATTTTTGTAACGGGTTTTTGCGGCAGTTGAAGCCGATCAATATTAAAATAAAAATCAATTCTTCTCTGCGCTCAGTCGAATATTACCAAAGAAAAAAGCGTCTTTCGACCTTTACTTTCCTCAAGCTTTCCCGCCTTTTTACGTACCTCGACGAAGACTGAGCCAACGGACACTCAACTCTACACCACTACATAACTTATGTACAGCCTAAACCAATATGCTACGTTGCTATTTAATGTGAACTACTATTTTCTCTCTCTACTAAATAAAATATATTTATACATCAAAAAAAAAAAAAAAAAAAAAAAANAAAAAAAAAAAAAAAAAAAAAAAAAAAAAAAAAACACACACGGTAAAAAACCCGGATCACTGTACGAGCTGGAAGCGAAAAGAATAACCATAGGTAGGAGCCCGATGTGAGGACTCACAAGACTGGCAATAGATGGAGTCCAACACTTCCATGATGAAGTCAGAAGCGAGAACCACACTCACAAGAGGGCGCCGAATGCGGGAGCTTAGGTTCGTTGGATGACGCATGATGGCGCCTGAAGCGAGAACCACACTCAAAAATGTAGCCGACAGAGCAATCGGGCCCCCTTCCAGTCGGCGGCAGAAGGGAGAACCACACTCACAAGATGGCACTAGACAGCGAGTTCTAAAAATATCTAACTCAGGAGGAGATGCCAGCAATGTGGGACCACGCAGTAGACGGCTCTGAAAAAAGGGATACGACAACCGAGAGATGGCATCGCGCAGGATCGGAGGTTCACTAAGTAAAAAAAGATGAGTCCCTGAACACCTAATCGTCGCATATCACTATGCGACGAATGGGGGATGTATGGAAAACAACGACTAATATACAAGTAGCAGAAATGCTCAACTAACCTCGGCCACCCCCTGGGGGGAATATGGAAAATAGAATATTGGACTGGATAGCAAATAAAGCCCCAGTTTAAGAGCTTAAGGGAGTGTATCGAAATTCTCAACTACAAATTGAGTTTTCCAATAAATTTTGTTGAAAGGGTCTAATTTTTGCCATTTTATTCAATCACTGGCAATGTTTGGTGTTGATGTATGGGTTTTCACTTGTTCAGTTTTTCAAGTTTCGTAATTTTGCCAGTAACATATGATTTACGTACTTATGTGAATAAAACTTAGTTAATACGATAAAAATGAACTAACCGGAACAGTGGGAACATGTGTTGTTCGATGGGTGTGAGTACTAGTTCTTGTCGGAGGTGCATGCAGCCAACAGCACATAGCAGCACATATCAAAAGCGCACCTGCAACGATGCAAGCTACTCCAACGTATCTTACTGGTTCGACGTAATGTTCAGCCAAGCCAAGCCAATTGATCAAAGCACCAACGCAAAGTAATACCATACCATATCGGTAAGGTCGCTGTGATCTCCTTGATTCTTCAATCGTCATTGCTGTAAACAAAAAAATGAGATTTTAATATATCTTCTTATATACATATTCTCTTATATGTCCCCCTTTCCTCCCCTGCTGGGGCTTCCCCTCCACCGAAATATAATTATTTTCTCTTTATTTGTTTATTCCGTAAACATCCTATTCTATAAACTGTATGAAAAGTTATAAAATAAGAAAATTATACATGGGTCAAAGTACATGTAATACTTTTTTAAATTTTCGTCCGTACGTATGTCACCGATCTTGATGCACTTTTAGTATGTTATAGTACATGATAAAAAGGACCGAGAACCAAAACTTTCAACCCCCTCCTCCCCTATAAACGTCCATTTTCTATCTATATTTTTTCTGAAGCCCTGAACCAATTAAAAAATTGGAAAAAATTCACAAAAATACATTTCAACAATCTAAACAACCTTGAATTTTTTCAAAGAAGTGAACGCATCTTTTGAAGCCAAAACCCCATTTTTTTGACGAAAATAATTTTTTTTGGAATATGGACCCTCGAAACAACTTGAAACGGTCAAAATTTATTAAAATTTGACAAGGAATTCAAAAACTATTTTAAAATTTTTTTACCGGAACCATCGGGTTCTAGGAACCTTTTTTGTTAAAAATAGCATTTTTCGGATCCAGAAGTTATGGCCTGCAATTAAAAAATCTAAAAAAATTTGAGTTTATGTATTTTGATGAAAAAAACAAGAAAAAATTTTTTCCAGATTTTTCGAGGGTCCATATTTCAAAAAAAATTATTTTCGTCAAAAAAAGGGGGGTTTGGCTTCAAAAGGTGCGTTCACTTTTTTGAAAAAATTTTAAAAAATTTTAGGTTACTTTTTTTAATAAAATAAAAAAGTGAACAATTTTCTCTTATCGCCGTATCTGGACTTTTGAAATTTTCAATAATTTCTTCTGAAGGCCTGAAGCACTCAAAAAATCTGAAAAAATTCAAGGTGGTTTGGATTGTTGATAAGTACCTGTATGAATTTTTTCAGATTTTTAATCGCTTCAGGGCTTCTTTTTTCTTTAGAAAAAATTTAGATAGAAAATGAACGTTTATAGGGTAAGAGGGGGGTTGGAGGGGGGAGGGGGTCCAATATTTTGGTTTTGGCCCTTTTTTATCGTGTACTATAACATACTAAAAGCGCATCAAGAACGGTGACATATGTGCGGACGAAAGTTTAAAAAAGTTTTATTTTGACCCATATACAATGTACAATTCATGGGCTCGTGCCTCAACTTATTGCAATAGTTTTTTTATCAAAGAAATAATTAATACCGAACTCAGATTATTGTAATGCATAGTTTTTTGAGGCTTCAATGTTTTTGAACATTCTATTTAGCTAAAACTGTTCTAAGTTTATATCAAAAGCATTTTTCCAACATCTCTTTTCACCAATATAATGGCAGATGAATCGAAAAATTGTATAAAATTGATGAGAAAAAACTTTAATTGTTCGAATGATGGTGACAAATCTCAAACCGGCTAATCTATAATTTTTTTTTAATGATACTGGTTAACAAGGAGAGAACGTAAAAGTTGCTACTCATGTTCAATTTCATCAACGTTCGATACTCACGAGCTAATGGAAATAATAGTAAGGGTTGCATGTTTATTTATCGACCTGCAGTCCCAGTGCGTGCGACGAATAACAGTCGATATTCACCCAGAGATAAATATCTTCTTCAATATTTTACGTCGATATTTTTGTGTTGTGTAGACACAACTTTCATAACTTTTTTTAAATTGTTTGAAACTTTTTTGAGCTATCAAAGCTCAATTGTAATAGTTTAATATTTTTATTATACATTTCTGATTTGAGCACTGTAATTGGTTTGCATTATTATTTTAAAAAAGTCCAGCAAGTAAATACGAAGCAAAGCAAGAATTTTATGTATGATTTTTACATACACGGCCTAGTGTATTAGATACAGGGGCTCAAAGTTGGATTTTTATTTTTTGAACATGTTTGTGTAAGTAAAATTTAATGTAAAACTGAAATTTTTACTCAAAAATTATATGTTTAACCTCAAAACCCCTCAAAAATAATAATATAGCATAAAATAGCATAAAAGTCCAAGAATAAAGTTGTTTCTACACCTCATATTGGCCAACGTTGAAATATGTTCATCTATACAACAAAATAGAACTTTTCACAAAGTGACATAATGTCAGAGTTAAATTTGATAGCATACTAAGAACCGAAAAACATTAAAAATGAGGAAAAAACAATGCTTTTTGACTCTTCATATATCACTTAATCATAGCATATCTTAGATAGAAAAACTTGCCTCTCCAATACTTTACACTCAAATTCCAACTCCATAAAACATGAATGAGGATTTCCTCTTTGTAGCCATACCTGCAGCGGGAGTCCTCATTTTGTTATTAATGGAATTTCTAACATTTAAACTTTAAAAACACAAATGGTGAATATCGATAAGAAAGTTAACACACCCACAAATCATTTACTTAATTACAAAATCTGACCCACTGATTTTTTTAACGTAGATAAAAATATTACACCACAATAAAAATGTTATCATTTCAGAATAATAAAATCATGCATTTGATGGCGTTTTTGATGCGTTTTGAAATTCGACTCATCCTATTTTTAATTTTCAAATTCTGATTACCGATAGGCCCATTTACCTTTATTATCTAAATCATCACCAAACAATCCTCAGAAACTGTACTTTTGAAAAAAATGTCAACTTGATTTTTAGTATTTTATAGATTTTTTTTATAAAATCCCAATATCCCAAAAGGCCCCACTATGAATCATCACAAAATTATGGGGAAAAATAGTTTTTGAGTAGTATGTCTATTTTTGGTGTGCGTGCTTTGTAAATAAATGTATACACGATATAAACATGGGCGTTGCCTGCGCCTATTGTTGATTTTGAGTGCATTTTAACCCATTTATGACCGAAATGCTTGATTTTTTGCATAATAATAAAGTTATAGCTACTTAAAAAAAAATGTAAACATTTTTGCAAAAATTCTAGTTTTCGATTTTTCTTCGCCATGTTACCGCTACGAAATCAAAACATGAACAAAGGTGATCACGACTATCAAAGTATCTCAGGGAATTTTCATGAAATTTTCGAACCACTTCTTCCAACAAAAATTAACTCATATTCATAAAAAACATAACTCATTTTTTACTCAAAAACTATTGAGTTTAGAGAAAAAATGCACAAAACAAAAATATGAAAATTGATTAGAAAATTCCATAAAAATTCCCTGAGATACTTTGATAGTCGTGATTACCCCTGATCATATTTATATCGTGATTCCTTAACGGTAACATGGCGAAAAAAAATCGAAAACTTGAATTGTTGCAATAATTTTAACTTTTTTTTTGATTAAGTAAAAAACAAATCGCTGCAAAAAACAACAAAAAAATCAAGCATTTTGGTCGTTAATCAGTTAATCGAATTTTGCGTTGTACATCAACAATTTTGCTTTAAATAGCACAATTTACATTGCCCATTTTAGTTTTCGATATATTAGAAAAGATAACGCTAAGTGCTTTTTTTTAAATGGCGAAAAATTAATATTTCAACCAAATTTAGGAGCACATTTTGTCTAAAAAATATGTTCAATTAGCTTCAGCTTTAAGATGTACTTTTTTAAAACTCTGAAGGCCCTCATCCGAATTGATGGACACTACTTTTTTCAGGTTTCTGAATTACTTGCAAATTTCAAAAGTGTGCTCTAAAAAACGAAACTTTTTTTTAGTAGCAAAATATTGAAATTTTACGAGATTTACTCATACACCTGGTACATACCTTATAAATCCAAAATTCTAGCTTAAACATTATTTTGTAAAAACTTGTTTTATATTTTTTGCTTGCCTCAAAATTTTTACAAAAATCGTCACTAGTTATAAAATAATATCTGTAAAATAAAAATTAACTTGTAATTAAAAGCTATCATATAAATATGAGAATTAGATATTCGAAAAATCATTGGAAATATAACTAAAGAACATAAGTAAATTAAAAAGCGTTTAAAAAAAATTAATCCTCAGCAACTGAATTTTGTATTAAATTTCGTTATTAGTTATTAATGCAAATTCAACAAATTGTAGATGAAAATTCAACTGAAATGAATGAAAAGTAATTGAATTTTCATCTACAATCTGCTGAATTTATAATTTATATTAATAAAGGTTTGTGAAACATGCTTCAACACTTTTTTTATTCATTTTCATACAAATATTTCTAACAGTTTGCTACTTAATATGTCTCCCGTACAATGAAAATTAAAAAAAACGAAGCTCGGCTAATAATTGCATTTGAACACGCCCATTTTGAACATGGCTCTAGCACCTCACTACACTCGCGTGCTAAGCACGTCGTGTAATAATGGTCTCCTTAAATCACTCGTATCATACATAATATACTATTTTTATGTCCCTAAATCAATTTCATATCACAATATAAAAATTATAAAAAAGCAATATTAACGAGATATTTGAGCTTGGGTAAGCATTTTTCTTGGATAATCAAGTGTAGAATAAACGTATTTTTCTATTTTAAAAATAAAATTGAATAATCATGATCAATGGTTATTAGTAAGTTATGATTATTCGTAGTTTTCGTTTTTTTCCTTTAATTATGCATGGAGTTTGATGAAATTTGACTATATTGCTAATGGGCGCATCACAAATGTACGTCAACTCTAGAGTTTGGGAATGACAATTCGAATTTTTTTTCAGATTTAGCATAAATGGAATGGTAGCCTGTTGTTACCGACTGTGTGAATGTATAAAGGACCCTCAAGATTGCCTATTCGTCTCTCAATAGGAAACACATGCAAAGGACGCCTATTTGTACAACGTATGCATCAATAATAATGATATTATATAGCCTAGCATAAGTGGAGCCCCTGATTCGCTCCGATTGCGTTTTCTGAAGGGAAACGTATCGTTGTACATATTGTGAATATGTCAGTTACTGATTTTATCGGTGAGCACGTGCAGTATACAGACAG